CCGTGCGCGTCCGCCTGGAGGACCGATTCAACAGCATCCCGGCGGAGCCGCCCGTGGCGCCGCGCGGCCCCGAGGCCCCCGAGCCCGGCGTTGCGCTCAACAAGTGCGTGCGAGCGGGCGCGGCGCAGAGGGAGGGTCGCCTGCAGGTGTGGTGGGCTCAAGGGGCAGCCTGCCGCCTGCCCGGTCTGAGTGGAGATGGGGCGCGCCTGTCCGAACGCCTGTCAAGCCTGGGGCAGGATAGAAAGAAGGTGCCCTGGTCAGAGCCAAGGTTTGGGAGGAGGGGTGTCGCTGGAGCTGGCTGAAGAGGAGGGCAGCCTGGCCCCATGCCAGGTCTCGGTGTAGTGGGTCTCAGTATCAAAGGCCTGAGCGCACTCTGACTTGCATCTCCTCAGGCGGCAGTCTTCCCGGTTCAGGGTGACCTGAAAGGTGTGCCGAGTCCCCAGCCCCGGGTGGCACCTTGGGGAGTGTAAGCCCGCCGTCTGGCTCTGCGCTCAAAAGGAAGAATTGGGACAAGTGCACACGTGGCTGTGAGGATGCTTGGCTCCTGTCACCCTCCTAAGTGCCACAGAAAGCCTCTCTGCCTCCCCGAGGGCTGATTTAGGGTAGGGTGTGGAACAGGTTGGGCTTGGGGAGGGAAGGTCAGGAGTCTTCAGGGATTTGGAGCTGTAAGACAAAGCCACAACCTGCAGCAGCTTGTGGCCCACTTACTGACTTGCAGGGGTGGCTGCTGAAGAGGCTGACGCCCTGGTGTTCCGTTCATCCGCAGACAGTGGCCTCCCTGTTGGCTGTCCTCACTCTGGTTTGGAGGATGACCAAAAAGAGTGGAGTCGGGGTGTGCTGAGAGTAGGGAGACTCACTTCCTCCAGGAGGAGCAAGAGTAGATCTTTCTCTGGCAGCGCTGGTTGGTAGTTGTACAGCGGTCTTGGTGAGGATGTGTTCGTGGAACTCCTTTCCAGAGTCTGAGGCAGTGATGGCGAACCTTTTAGAGCTTTCCATGATACAGACAGCCTGCTCTAGCAAGCATGCCATAGGTTCACCACCACTGGTCTGAGATGACCTGTCAGGGTGGTAGTGAGTGAGAGCATTGTTTGTGGAATCTTTCTGCCACCAATTTTCAGCTTTCTGGATTTTCTTTTGTCTTGGCAGTTTGGTAACTCTTATTCGACATCCATCTGAATTAATGAATGTTCCCCTTCATCAACAACAGAACAAATGTACGACATTAGTGAAAAATAAAACTGCTGCTGCGGCTACTGCTTTACAATTCACCTACCCACTGTTCACAAGTGCGTGCTCCACTGGTGGAAATTCTAACATTTCACAGACCCAGGTGGGAAACTGATGGGACATTTGCTTTTCTGTAGTGAATGGGTAGGTTTTTAATGTATTGTACATAGACTTTTTTTCTTTCATTGATCTTATTAATAACCTTTAAAATTGAGAGAATATAGGGTTTGGGGCTATATTAATTTTTTTTTTTTTTTTTTTGGTCTTTTTGAGACAGGGGTTTCCTACCCATTTCATGCTGGCCTTGAGCTCACTTTGTAGCCCAGGCTGGTCTCGAACTCGCAACAATCCTCCTGCCTCAGCCTCCCGAGTGCTGGGATTACAGGCGTGCGCCACCACGCCCAGCTGGGCCTGTATTAAAAATCCTCAATGAGGGCCAGAGATATAGCTCAGTGGCGTAAGTACCTGCCTGGCAAGTGCAAGGTCTGAGTTCAATTTCTGTACAAAAAAAAATCCTCAGTGAAATGCTGTTAGTGGCTTTGAGGTTACTTCTGTCAAGTGCATTTTATTTATGCAGGAAATAGTAGATTAAGCCACACATTGATAGAATTCCTGTTACTTCATTTTTTTCTAGAGTTCCAGTAATTCATGTTCTGTACTTGAAGCTGCCAAGCACCAGGATATTGGACTGCCAAGAGCATTTTCTTTCTGTTACCAGCAAGAGATCGAATCCACAAAGCAGACTTTAGGTAGCAGAAACAAAACTTTGCCTGAACAGGTTTGGATTAAAGTGGGAGGTAAGCCGTAAAGCAGTGGGTGGTGGGCAGGTTTCCTGCCTGAGTCTCAGCTGCAGCCTTTTAGCCAGGAGGAGCAAGGGAAAGAGGCGGTTTGTACACACCAGTCTTGTGTGTCTCAAAGGTTCTGCTTACACCTTCTCATCATCTCGCTTTGAACATTCTTTTGAACTTTAAATATCATAATTCACTTTAGTATGGAAGCATGGCCTTTGGAGGATTTTTTTAGAAGTAAAATGACAGACTCAAATAAATTTCAGTTGTCTTTATTACTGAAAGCACGTTATAGCTTATTTTTGTTTTATACTCAGAGTGATGTAGGATTTGAAACCTGCTGAAAGGCATAGGAGAGATGATAGGAAGATACTGCAGGTGATCAGGAACTGAGAGCTAGAGGCCATAAAGGGCTACTGAGGGCAAACATTGCCAGGCTTGAAAATTAACTGTCAGTCCCTTCCTCCCTGGAAAAAAAACGTTTTTCAAGTTACACAGTAAACTAACACTGTACAGTAAGCTTTTGACAAGTTGATGGGGTAGAATGGAGATGAAGAACTGTTGCTTCAGCCATTTCTTTTATGAGGCATTTCTTTTATGGGGCATTTCTTTTATGTCCCCATCCCCCCAAAAAAATTAGGATTTGTAAGGAATAAAGATGAACACTGAAATAGTGCCTGTTAACTGATGAGTTTAAGGAAGAAAATAGCAGCAAAGCTTTTCCAGTCCTTTCTCTGTCCCCTTAAAATGCTTTCACCTTTCTGAAATCTGTATGAATAATCCCTGGGCTTTATATGGCATATGGGATTATATCTCTACACACCTACTAGTTAGATGCCTACTCGTGTTTGCTGAGAATTTGTCATGTTTCTGTAGCATGTGTACATAGCATGTGGCATAAAAGTCATGGCACTATTGTGGGGAGAATCACTTCATGGTGAGGACATATTTAATCTTAAGCCACTAAGCTTTGTCTTCCCTTCTGAGTACTACAGTAAAGTTGTAGTTGTCACATTAGAATAATTGTATTACAAAGAAAATATTTTTTTGAGGAGGATAGTTTTTCATTCTGAATTTTAGAAAAAAGGAGAAAGTTCTTGACTTTATAGGTAGCACCTGTTTTTTATTTATAGGTAACTTTTTAAAAGGGGCACCTTTTTTTGTGATACTGAGGTTGAACCCAGGCTTCATACTGAACTATATCCCCAGCCTCTTTTTTTTTGAGACAGGGTCTCATTCATTTGCTCAGGCTAAGCTCAGACGTGTGAACTCCTGCCTCAGCCTCCTAGAGAAAAACTAGATTGGTTGTAGAGCACTTGGAAGGAGTGTGTCTAGTTCAGTCATAGATTTGTACTTAGTTTTTCAGTATAAAGTGGGCGTGGAGTTCAGTGCTGCTGCACACAAAGTCCTTGCTGTCACAGCTTGTGGTTCAGTTCTCTGCTGCATACCTAGTAATGTTTCTACCTTTTAAAAGCCCCCAAATACATTCTACATTAATGGGGACAAGTTAAGAAGGATAAAAAATTGAAATCCCATTTTTTCCTTCTTTTGCAAAGAAGAAGCGCTATGTAAACAAGCGATAAATAAGAGGAATCGGAGTAGAATACGTCAGTTGGACACAAGTATAGAACGAAGAGCCCTTGGAGAGATTCAGAATGTGGGCGAAGGCTCTACAGCCACACAGGGCGCCTGGCAGTCCTCGGAGTCCTCACAATCAAACCTGGGGGAGCAGACCCAGAGCGGGCCCCAGGGAGGAAGGTCTCAGCGTAGGGAGAGGCATAACCGAATGGAAAGAGATAGAAGGTAATGCGTGGGATTGTCAGGTCACTTTGTGTAGTTATCGTAGATAGGCAGGTTTATTGCAGATAAACAGCAGTTAGCTCCTTTGTCCAGATAGTGGGGAGGAGGCAAGAGTAACATTAACTTTGGTTTGTTTAATGGGTCGGGAGTCCACAAGACTCCTATGTTCAGTGATTCTCAGAGGAGGACTCAAGTCCATGATTTAGTACAAAGAATATAAGGCAAAATGGGTGAAGGCACATGGGGAGAAGCTCAGGGGGACTAGACGTAAGATTCAAGGGGTCCTTTCCAGTAGGGTGTCTGGGATGCCCTGATTCCCCCGGTATTGTGTTCTGACAATGCAGTGAGGTGTTGCCAAGCAGTTTGAGCTCATCTGAGACTGACCTTACCTGGGACAGGCCACTTAAGTACTCCTGTCTTGCACACAGCTGATTTGCATCTGAGGAAAGTAGGTGTTTGAGGGAAACCCTGGCAGAGTTTAGGCCCTGCAGGCTACTCTTTAATGTTTCTAAGTCTGAGTTCCCAGACACCATGGAGGGCCAGCCTCCTGAGCAGAGCCAGCAGGCCACTGGGTTAACTCTGTGGCAGACAACTTAATTCTGCATTTTGTTGGGTTCTTTCAAGAATGTTGAGAAAGGAGGAGGTTAAAACTGAAACAGTCTTTTCTATGGATTTTATCCATGTTGTTCTATGTAGACTCAAAGGTGGTTATTTTGTCTCTGTTGCAGTTGGGTTTCTTTGTAGTGTTTCCCTGGTAGTAATACTTGATTAACTTATGAGTACTGTGTTCCAGTGTCTGTTTTAGGCTTAGGAAATAAGTAGCACTGAGTGAGATACATCCAGCTCTGAAACTCCAGGGCTGAATATTGAGCCAAGGCAATTTACTGCTTTTTTTCAGTTTTTTTGGGACAGGGTCACAGTATAGCCCAAGGTGGCCTTACCTGTCTCAGTGTTCCAAGCGCTGGGATTACATGTGTGAAGATGTATAAGGAGGCTAAACTGTATAAGGTGCCGAGTGTCAACCTAGGTCAGACTTTGCATGTTAGTGGATGTAAGATGTAAAGGGTAAAATAATAAGATCCAAGTTGTGCTTTAAATGATCTAAAAAGGCTATGTCTCTGTATATTAGCAGAGTGGTAGTCTGATGGGTTTTGAATCCAAGCATCTTGAAGAATCTGAAAGCTGTGTGTGAGTCCCTACTACAGCACTTGGCACATGGAGAACAAATTCAACATTCTTGGCAGAAAGCATGATCTACCCAGAAGAGGCATACTCGGAGTTTTACCTCCAGTCTCCGGGTAGAACCATCCCAGGCATAGAGATATGAACCTGACTCCCAAGAAGTAAATAGGAAAAACTGTGCTGGGATTGGGACCCATGTGTGCCCCACAGGTGTTCTAGTGACCTGGAGCTGGTAGTGGCCTCTATAGACAGGAGCACAGTCACAGGGCCCTGACTCGCTCACCTGAGGGTTTCCAGGGTGGGGCCCAGTCTCAGTACTCAGACTAGCTCCACGAACTCAGCTTCCTTTGAGCAAGAGACAGTGAACTTTCTGCTGCTCGTTTACTCACTAGCTGCTCTGTGTGATTAACATGGGTTTTCACTGCAGGCGCAGAATCCGCATTTGCTGTGATGAGCTGAATCTTTTGGTTCCCTTTTGCAACGCAGAGACGGATAAGGCGACAACGCTTCAGTGGACCACAGCATTCCTGAAGTACATTCAGGAAAGACACGGGGATTCTCTTAAAAAGGTTAGTATTTAAGTAGGCTATGTAACTGTTTAGAATCTTACAAGTTTTACTTTCCAATGTTCCAGTTTATCCTTTCTTCCCCAGGATAACTCAGATTGCCCTGTTTCCTGGAATTTAGTGTTAAATAATAAGCGCAGTGTGAACAAAGCTCTAGTCATTAAAAATGTAACTTGTCACATATTAAAGTAGGAATTGCAGGCTAGATTTATCCGTGAAAATACAGTATGTAAGTGACTTGAAGGGTCAGTTGTTAGGTAACATATTGCAGACCCGCTATATACAGTGTATTGTGCTGGGATCCAAAGAGCTTGTAGGGTGTGATGTTTACCCTCAGAAGGCAAACAGATTACACTTCTGTGGGCCGAGGACAAGGGATGAGCTGGGTCTTTGGCACCTGTGCACTTCTGGCTCCCCAGCAGCCTGAGGGCCACTTTGATTCATCTGACCTGGTGTAGGCTGTGATAACCAGCAAGCCTACTTTGGTTCTAGCACTGGATGCCTGGTTTGAGTGAGTTCATTCAGCCCCAACAGGCACAGAGGAAGAAGGGTGTAGTCGTGACTCGGTTATGTGCCATGCCTTGGGAGCCACAGTGCTGGGTACTGGCCTCGGAATTGTGATGGTTAGTACCAGTGGCTCTTTGTCCTGCCAGGTGTGACTAAGCTTTAGTGAAAGAGATATACCCACAGGGTCCTGATTTTGTGTCTTGCCCAAGATATTGGAGAAGGGCCCAGGCATACAGCTCAGTGGCACAGTGCCTGCCTGGCAAGCGCAGGGTCCTGAGTTTGATCCCTAATACCAAAAATAAATAGTAATCAAGATAGAGTCCTTGCCTTCAAGGATGTATGAAGTTTTGCTGGGTGTGGTGGCACATGCTTGTAGTCCCAGCATGCAGGAGGCTGAGGTAGGAGGATCATTGCAAGTTCGAGACCAACCTGGGCTACAGAGTGGGCTCAAGGCCAGTCTGAACTGCCAAGTGAGACCCTGTCGCAAAAAGACCAAAAAAAAAAATAAAAAATATTGGGGAATTGGAGAGTGGGATAAGATAGAAGCAGCAATGTAGAGCCTTTTTAGAAGGAATGCCTGTGAGAAGCCCTCCCGCAGCCAGGCTGTACCAGGTCAGGCTGCCTTGCAGTAGGGGTGTCCTGTCGTTTTCCCTCCCCTGTGTCTGCATGACATTTACGCCTTGCGAATTGCATGATTGCATAAATTCTCTATTTCATTAACATTTCAGTGTATTTTAAAGCAATGCTATGTTGGTTTTATTCTAATTGAGTCATACAGCTATTTATATGTAGTTGTTCTTTAACGTATGTTAGTGGTAGACTGCTGGTTTGTTTTAATAAAATAAAGTTTAATATTTTTAAATGACTTAGTGTTTGGTTCTGTATACCTGTTCATAGTAAATTATTACTGATGAAAAATTCCTTAATACAATAAAGGTACTTAAAACCTTTTAAATAAACTGTTTATTAACTAGATCAAAAACTCATGGATATTATGTTTTTTTGTGGGAGTTTTTTTTTTATTTTGGATATTATGTTTTGCATGTTTTTTGGACATTTCTGAAGTGTAGTTGCATTGAATTTGTAGATTATTTCTGGGTCAGGTTGTCAGACCCATCAGAATAGGCAGAGTAAAGTCAGGTAGCTGTCTGGGGCATTGGAACATCACTAACCTGAAACACGTGTGCTTGATTATTTCCATAGTGATTTCCCCCTGTTTGCATGCATGTTTTTGTTCTTAAAGATGCAATAATGAAAGTTTTCAGTGGTTTTTCTAATTTATCTTAGTGTGCATTTCACTCAGCAAACCTTTCTTAGTATAGCAAGGCATCTGCTCCAGACATGGGGTACCTTGGATAAGGCAGAGCCCCTGCCAGCATGGGAGGAAACAGCCGGCCATGAACAGTGAACAAGGTGGTGTCCTGTGGATCCTGCCACGGGGTGGAAACGCAGCCGTGGGGCAGTGTGGCGACCGCAGGCGTCTTTGCCTTGAGTGGTCACTGAAGCCTTCTGGGCGGAGCTCAAATGCTGAGAAGGAGCCTGCATCGCAGAACGTGGAGAGCTGCAGTTCCATGGGTCCTTGGGCAGGGGCACCACACAGCATGAACAGAAGAGGGCTCTGCCTGCAGTGGTGTCACTGGGGTTGGAGTACAAGGTAGGCAGGCCAAGGTGTGGTGGGCCTGGGTGTCCTGAGAGCTCTTGGAAGGTTTCAGGGCAGGGAGGGACATGACTGGACTCACATTTTACAGCATCACTCACCACTGTGGTGGCAGGGGTGGGGGCTGAATACTGGTAGTAGGCTGCAGCAGGAGCTCTGGAGAGACACGCCTTGGCTGGGGACAGCAGAGGAACGGCTCCTGTTGTGTTTCTGGTGCCAGCTGTGGATCCTTGCCCAGCCGGGTGGATAGGGGAGCAACAGGATGGGGTTGAGATGGGCTCAGTGATCTGGGCTGAACGCGCTGAGCTTTCAGGGTTGTAGAGTTGTTGAGAAGGTGTCAGTAAATGAGTGTGCAGCTCAGATGATTGACTTCGTATTCATGTTCAAGTGAGCACACATGGTACAGGAATACCTGTATGCCCATCACCTGATCTCAGCAGTAACAGTTACCTGTTTACTTCATACACATTTCACAGATAGTCGCAGACACAAGTCTTCATCTTGAGATACGACTACATCTCTGAAGGACCTCCGCCTGCATGACCCCAGTGCGTGATCAGCCCCAAAAGGCTGGTGGCAGCTGTCTCTTTTCCTCTCATACTCCATCACTATTCACATTTTTCCAAATTGTTCTAAAAATGATCTTCGTGGCAATTTTTTCCCTCTGATTCACTAACTAGCTAGGGCTTATGCATTGCATTTGATTCTGGTTTTCAGTCTTTAAGCTGCCTGGTATTGGCTCAGTACTTAATGGTAATTTTTAATTATGTCACCTCAGACTTACGGAGAAATCACAAGAACTACACAAAGAGCCTCTTGTGTACCCACCCAGAGTTGCCCTGTATCCCATTTTCTGTTTTTCTTGGCCTTTGTATAAGTTCTTGAGTGATTCGATAGTGAGTCGCTGATATATGCCTTTTAAACCCAGCTACCTCAGCGGTTACTGTAGAAATACATTATTTTACATAACCAGAACAGCGATCACAGGACATTAGTGTTGTTGTGATACTTAGTTCATCATGGTTAACACTTAGGTTTTGCAGGTTGTCCCATTACTATCCTCCATAGCTTTTCCACAGTAGGGGTGCAGTCCAGCACCATAGGTGACATTTAGTTGTGTTGTGACGCTGTTGTAGATTTGCGGCTGTGAGCATCAGGTACCCAAAGCTGCTTTGCCACCCTCTGCCTCCCTCTCCTCTCCTTTGTGGCCCTGTCACAGTGAGAACTGGGAGCTCTGCAGCTGTTTCCCTTCTCCCATGTCCCTGTGGCAACCATCTGCTTTGCCTCCTCCTGTGACCTTGTGCTCTGTCTGAAGTCAAGCCTCCTGCCTGGTTTCTCCCTTTCACTCTCAGAGATTACTCCTTTCCTTCTCCCCATGTTCCCTGCGAATGGCTGCTGTTTCTCCCATTCTCTTGTGGGGACTCTGGCTCCCATGTCTCTGCCAGCATCCATCCATTCTTTGCCCTCCTTAGCTGCCAGCTTAGTGCTATCCACACTTCTCTCCTCATCCTCTCCTCCCAGCGGCCTTTGGAGGTGGGTCCTGTGCTGGCCCTAGGGACACCCCTTTGCTTTTTGTATGTGCTTTCAGCACTGTGCCTTCCCTGATTTCTATCCCCACCCTTGACCTGCCTTCCCTCCCCAGCTTCTCAATGAAGGGGTTCACCCAACTTGATCCATGGTCCTAGAACTGAGTGACTAAGGAAGCTGGGGAGTCCTGTGGATGTGTAATGCTTATTGGTCCCTGCAATTAGCAGGCTGCCCCTCTACTGTGTAGCACCAGCCTTTTCAAGACCAGAGCATCCCTCTCCCTCCTGGCCTTTCACTCCTGGGGAAGTGACTGTGTTGCTAGCTTGGTTGGTAGGCTTGGAGTGGAAGCCCACCTTGCAGAGACTTGCACTCCTCCTGTTGAACCCATCTACCCTTCAGTCGCTTTGGAGGCCTCATCCTGAGCTTCCTGTGTGTCTGTACTGATGTTGGCACTGCCCTGTGGCCTTTACCTGTTACATGAATGGTGGCACATGTGGATCATGTAATTGTATATTGTACGATCTGGCACCTGTAAAGCCCCTTCTGTGAGAGAGACCCACATCAGGTAGGTGGTGTCACGCAGCGCATGGGACGTGGGATTGTGGAGTGCTCTGACCTGCCCTGTGCGTGTTGGCAACTGCATTCTCGGAAAGTGTGACATCTGTGCTGCTGCCGCTGAGAAGCTATAAGGAGGCAGCACAGCAAATCCAGGACGCAGCCCCAGCCCTGTGAGGAGCACCCAGGGAGCACCATTTCTATGCCCAAGGCAGGGATGGAGTGGCCAGCAGCTTGTGCTTCAGCTTGAGACTTGCCTGGGCCGCTGTGGAAACTACTCACAAGCTTGTTTCACCTTTTTATTCACTTGAACACATCATACAGGCGTTCACCCTCAGCTGCTGATCAACGTCTGCAGCTTGTACATGGCAAAATGGGCCAACAGCTGTGTTTGTGACCTGTTCTACAAATAAAGTATCTTGGGAAAAGTGTCCCTGTGTTCTCTTTGCCCTGCTGACAGCCTGCCTTGTCCTGTGGTCATTCCGACCTCATGCTTTGCTCTGTCTGTACCGTGTTCCGCACACTTGCTGTGGGCCAGGCTCTGCCTCATGGAGCCAGGCCAGTTCTCATGTACTTAGAGCTGGCATTTTGTGTGCAAGTCATCAGTAGTGCTTTTACTGTCATAAGTTGCTTTTTATCATTTAAAAAACCTATCCCTGTTCGTTCCTCCTCAGTGTTTTGTCAGTGGTGTCTTGAGTTTACTTCATTATTTCCAGTCTTGCTTTCTAATTTATATTCAAAGCAAATTTCTGTCTTAGCACTGGTTTAAAAATACCCTATTGGTTGGGATATACTGCTTTCAGTGTCTGTAATTTTTGTTTACCTCTTCAACATGTGAATTCTCTGAAAGTTTAATTTTCTATATATGTAGAAGTTTTTAAGAAAACAGCTTATCTATTTCTCACATTTATTTATCATTGTATCAGTGAAAATGCTCTATTTTTTTAAAAGCAGTTTTAAGAATCTTGATGTTCAGACAGGTTTCTGACAGGTTGTGACAGACAGGTTTTCTCTGTATTACTCAGGTGCTCATGCTGAACACCTGGGTTTATAGGCATAGACCACCACATCTGGCAAAATTTGAAGAGTTTGTCAAGCCTTGTACTATGACCTCTTACGTTGTCAGTTATTCTGTGAATACTTGGCAGTAATGTGAATTTTCTAGGAATTGTGTGGGTTTGTTATGCTGAGATTGTTTGAGTCAGGATATAGCTGAATTACCTAGACTGGTCTCTTAAGTCCTGTGCTCAAACTTTCCTGACTCGGCTTCTTGAAAAGCTGGGGGTACAGGAGGATACCTCTGCCCCTGGCTTACCGGGTGAGATTGTTGAGACTAAAACTCATCCTGAGCCAGGGAATATATAGCTCAGTGGCATAAGCGCCTGCTTGGCAAGCACAAGGTCTTAAGTTGGATTCCCAGTACCAAAAATAAAAATAAATTTTAAAAATAAAACTTTTCATCCTTTTCTTTTTTCTGTCCAGCCTATTTCTAACAGACTGGTGTGGAGGTCTCCCACTAAGATCTATCGAATCTCCTTAGAATCCTATCAGTATTTGCTTTATATATTTCAGGTAGAAATACACACAAATTCCCTCCTATTCTGACTCTCTCCAAGTGTTCTTTTTATCAATTCAAAGTATCCCTTTTTCTTTAACCCTTTACGTTAACTCTTGACACACAGACCATGCAACTTTCTTCCTCTTAGTAAGTTCCTGGTATATTTTCTTACATGTAATTAGAGCGTCTGGAATTATTATCAGTTACAGATCTAATAATGAGTATTTACTTTGATCAGATGTCATCTCAAGATGTTTTGGTAAGTTGTAAAAAAAAAATTTTTTTTTTTTGAGACTATCTCACTACTGTGGTTCAAGTTGGTCCTTAACTCACTCTGTAGCCCAGGCTGGCCTTGAATTCCTCGTGATGATCTTCCTGCCTCCGCCTCCTGAGTGCTGAGATTACAGGCATGCACCAGAACACCTGTCTTCTTTTTATTTGTGTTTTGTGAAAATTCTTTAAAGTTCATCAGTTTCGTGGTTTGTTGAGAATAGATACTAACCGAGCTAGTATAATGACAGCAGTATAGCAGCTAGAGAGTGCTGTGTTTCACTCTTGTACTCAACCCCAGTTTCCCATAAACAAATCGGGTGGGGGGTGCCCCTGGACAAATCTAGAACTAGAATGTAACCGTGCTTCTGCCCACTTGAATGTGGAGACTGATCCCTGGACCAGCTGCATTGGTGTGTGAAAACAGTTAAGAAAATCAAAGTGTTTTCTTATATCTGAAAAATGATTATTTTCTTTTATCATGTAACTTTTGAATGGTAAATTATATCTTGCCAAATATAGGCAAACACTTTATGCTCTATATGTCAAGATATTGCTTCTCGGCCTTTTGGTTAAGATCAAGTGTAGTATCTATATGTCAAGATTATAGAAAATACGGCTCCTTGGAGACACCACAATTCATGATTTCCAGACACTGCAGAGCTGTACTGACCAGAACAGCATGATACTGTCATAAAAGCAGACTTGTAAAGTGGAACAGAATTAGAGGTCCAGGAATAAACCCACACGTCTACAACCAACTGAATCTTGACAGAGGTACCAAAGCCTACATTGGCGCAGAGACAGCCTTTCAACAAGTGGTGCTCGAAAAAAGGATGTCTACATGTAGAAGATTGCAGCAGACTCTATCGGTTATGCTGTACAAAACCTAACTCAAAGTGATTCAAAGACAAATGTAAGACCTGAAACTACTATGGAAAAAGAAATGGAGAAACACTTCAGGCCCCAGTAAAGGCACTGATTTACAGGAAACAAAAACATTGACAAGAGGGATTACATTAAATTTATGCGCAGCAAAATGTGAAGAAACAACCCACAGAATGAAAAAATAATTTTCCAGCTAGTCATCTGACAGAGACCTAATACCCAGAATATATAAAGAGCTCAACACCAATCTTAAACACTTCTCAAAGTACAAAGGGCCATTAAATATAAGAAAATGTGCAATATCCTTGGCTGTGAAGCAGATACAAATAAAAACTATTAAGATACCATCCCCTAGAATGGCTATTACTAAAATAAAAACAGCCGGGCGTGTAATCCCAACCCTTGGAAGGCTAAGGCAGGAGGATTGTGAGTGAGGCCAACCTAGGCTACAAAGTGAGCTCAAGGCCAGCCTGAACTGCATAACAAGACCTTGTCTCAGAAAGCCAAATAATAAAAACAAGCTGGTGAAGATACAAGGAAACTTTCTACTCTAGGGATCGAAACCAGGGTGCCCTTTTTTTATTTTTTGAGACAGGATCTCACTAAGATGCCCAGGCTGACCTTAAGCTTGGTGATTCTCCTGCCTCACCCTCTTAAAGTAGCTGGGATTACAGGTGTGGCTACCACACCTTGCTAGGGGGAAAACTTTTTGGAGGGAATGTGGATTACCTACAGCAACTGGAAAACTGGATATTCCTCGAAAAACTAAAAACAGGTCTACCATATGGTCCAATTATACCACTTCTAGGTAAAACCTGAAGGAAATCAAATTGGCCTGTCAGACTTACATGCCCATGTTTTTGTGGCACAACAGCTGAGATACAGAATCAGCCATCAATAGATGAATGGATAAAGAAAATGTATACACAGTGGAATTTTCTGCCATAAAGAATGAATTCACCTCATTTGTGGGAAAAGGGAGGAAACTAGAGAACAAAAGCTAGAATCAAGATGAGTTTTGCATGTTCTCTGATACTATGTGGAAGCTCAACAAAGTCGATCTAAAAGTAAAATAGTGATTTCTACGGATTGATTGGGAGGGTGGACAAAGCAGTTGGGTTTAATTATGCATGCTGTATGCATGTGTTGAGATACACAGAAGAGCACTAGTACCTGCAACTCATTGCAAACTAATTCTTTAAATTTGAGGGGAAAAGTAAAGTATATATACAGGTACAATTTCTGAGTGGGAATGGTTAAAAATGGCAGATTTCTTTAGTTGAATATCACTTAAAATGTGGATAAGCAGAGTGTTAGAACCATACCAAATCATTCAGAAGTTTCCACAGTGGCGGCAGAGCACTCACACTCCTCCTCCTGGCCTTGAATTAAATAGAAACTTGAATTAAATAGAAACTACAACAATAACAGAAGCCACACAAAAGTTGGGCAAAAGGCTTAAATAGACATTTCTCTGAAGATGTATATAAATACCAAAAAGTACATGAAAAGAGTCTCAACATTATTGGTCACTAGGCAAAAGCACATCAAAACTACAATGAGATGCTACCGTACACTCATTAGAATGGCTGTTATCAAAGAACTGAAAAGGAGTGTTGGCAAAGAAATGGAGAAATTGGAATCCTTGTATATTGTTGGTGGGAATGAAAAATGTTATAGCCACTGTGGAAAACAGTATGACAGTTTCTCAAAAAGTTAAAATAATTACCATATGATCCAGCTGTTCCACTTGTGAATATAAACCCCCGAAAAATGAAAACATTTAAACTGGTACATGTCGGAATACTCACAGCAGCGCTGATCGCAGTGGCCAAAAGGTGGGAACAAGCAGGTGTCCAACAGACAATGTTCAGGTAAACAAAATGTTCTTTATATACTCAGTACATATCCATTGTGAGTCGCTGTAGGAATGAAATTCTGACACTGGCTGCAACATGGGTGACCCCTGCAGACATACTGAGTGGAGCCAGTAGTACTGTATGCTGCTGCTTAGTGTAGCTAGTGGTGCTGGATGTACAGAACCGTGACTACTTACACCACAGATGTGTAACCCATGGTTAAAGTGGCAAACTTAGTTACATATATTTTACTACAGTAAACTTAGTGTTACTTTCCTAGAATGCTATGTTTAAAATTTTTTTCCCAAACGTACAAAAATAGAATAAAATAATGAATTTCCATGTCCCTAAACTCATTTTCTGGCATAATTTGTTTCTCCCACCCACACCATAACCCTCCCTCAGTAAACTATTTTAAAGCAGTTCCTGCCATCTCAGGCACAGATACATTTCCAAGAAGCAAAGGGCCGTGTGAAAACAGGACAGCATCAGCAGCATTGTGGAACACACTCATTCCCCGATACCCAGCTCTGCTCAGATTTCTCCCTGTAATTCACAAACGTCTTTACATAGCCTTATTTGAACTGGGATCCAAATATTGCACGTGGTGGTTAGTGCCTAAGCATCTTTTAATCTGTAACTGTTCCCCATTTCTTTTTTCCTTACCATTGATTTACTGAAGAAGCAGAATAATTTGTCTTATGGGATTTTCCGCACTTTGCAGAGTCGTCGTATTTACTATCTTTTGTTTCCTGGATTTCCTATGAACTGGTGCCCTAGGTAGACTTGAGGTTTGGGGAGGAGTTACATGGCCTCTGCCTCTGAGGCTGTTTTGTGAGGCTGAGACTGACCCTTC